AAAAAAAAAAAAGAAACTAGCGTTGTTTTTTTCCTTGAAATTAAGACCAAACATTCTCGATTGCAAAAGAAAAAGATGGAGTCCATGTTTTTTTAATGCAATAGTTATCATTTCTGTTTTTGGTGCATAATAGCGCCGCAATGTACTGTTAATGTCACATCGTCTTGTAAGCTTCCATCCGTACACCATAACTTTATACGAATCTCTGAGATTTATTGAGTATTTGTGGTGACAAAAAAGTAACCAGTCATTGATTTAAATCGAGCTTCTTGTCCCACGGTAGATTTTACGTTATTCTATAAATAGCATCTCTCTTGACTTTGAGACTGATTTGATAACGTATGCGTGTTTTCTGGGAAATGTGGATGCATATTATTAGTCGACCTTAGGTTGACTTAATTACAGATTATGCTGAATATTAGAAACCAACATTTTTTTTTAACGGATGTCCGTTTTTTCAAGAGTATTATTTGGATAAACATAGAATATTATATAGCCAATTCAATATTACAACCGTATCAACCCGACACACCAATATAATCTCAAGAGCTCTGGTCGATCATATTGGTTGAGGACTAATACGGTAAAACTTTTGGAGCAGTTTTTGTGTCAGATGCACATCAGTTGAGACGTTGATAATTGGAAAATTGAAATCATCACGTTTGTCATTTGTTCTATTGAAAGTCAATACTAGTATTCAGGAAATGATCGAGACATGAAGCAGACCTTTTAGTTTCGGTAGTGTCATTCACAAGTTCGCTTGGATATTAATGGAACAGTTGTTAACCGATGTTCAATCTCATAAAACGATAAAGAAGACAAATCAAGGTAAGAAATAAAAGCTGAGGGAATCGCATGCACTTCAATAGGAGTGAGACCTGGTGCGTCGACAGGGTAAGCGTCTCCTGCTGTGCATGTTTCTCTCGCCATGCCAATCCACACTTTAATCAAAATGTCACAATCGGGGATTGTACACAATTTGTAAAATTACAGACTAGATGACTATTCTGGTATCTTTAAAAGATCTAATACTCCGAAAACATGTTGCTAGTGAGTTGAGACACATACATATCATATCGGTCAACCAACTCGTGATTGTGACCGTAAAACTCATGTAGTGTCGATTTCAGTCGCGTCTTCCTCATAACTCTGTTAGAGCAGTTTTTGTGTCTAGAGCATACCCCTGCTAATGAAGTCCGTATAGTGTGAAAATGTACGAGCGCAACGTATCAATTGAAATATGTAAACGTCATTTGAGCAGAGGGTATGTAAGTGCTGAGAAATTGGAAGTTGACAGTTATAAAGTTGAAATCATCACGTTTGTGATAGATTCTAATTAATAGTCGTCCATCTGTTTAAATATAGAGAAAAGATTAATGCATGAAGCAGACATTCTAGTTTCGGTAGTATCCGTAATCTTATGTTCATTGGGATATATGAGATGCAGACACTCACTGAAATGTGGGTTATTGAGTGACAGAACATCATCAATATATCTGAAATTGAAATTAAAGAGGCTTTTCTTTTTATACTTCAGAAGGTATTATATGAATTCTACGTCATATGAGCACAAAAACAAGTCGTCCAGTAGGGGTTAACAGTTCGTACCCTTTGGAACAGCGACTGTATTAAACGTATAAATGCCTATTACCCATCTTACCTTTAGCCACCTCTGCCTCTAATGCACTGACTTTAAATTTAAGAGCATTGAATTCAATCTTCGAAACATAGTTGCCGTTCGTATTTTCCTAAAAAACGTGAAGCACAATCAAGGACGAATACTTGATTTATTAGCCAAAATAAAATCTTTCTGGAAAACTCGAGTACAGTTGCTGTTAAATATCTCCAATTGTATGGTTTCGTGTTCTGTTTGTTTAGATTTGATAAACATGCAATAAAAGACGCATTTATGATGAAGAGTTAAAAGGATTACAACCATGGTGCATCGTTCAACTCAACGCAGGAATTATTTAACACAGAGACTATGTTTTTTCATATGTTCATGTATATAATTGGTCGTCTCCTAGGTATACAAAACTTTATAGAGGCTATACATTACAATTCCAAATAGCAGGTTACTGTAAACATAAGAAGATTGCAAATTAAAAACTAATGTTACAATTCTACCGCATATAATGTCTCAAAATGACAGAACGATATTTCATATTTTTGTCTGTGTAGGATTTTAAGGTATCTAATTCATATTGCGTACGATGGTCATAGAAAAGATTGTAACATCATCCGAAAGACAGACAACATCATAGTATAACATATGAACGTAATGAAGGTTGTGATGTCCCTTTGGTATCTTTCTCCTCTCTTTTATTTATATTTTGTTTTATTATTAAATGGTAGAACCACTGTCCAAGTCTACAGAAACACCATGTTTAGCATATATTTCCACATTTGTGGATTATGAGAGACACAATGCATTGGTGACAGAAAATTATAGCAAGAAACCAGCAAACTCAGCTTAAAAATCATTGTAACTATATAATAAATAGAGAAGTTCATATGGCTTTTTCAATATCACATCTGTATCAACACGAGACACTTATATCATCCCAAGAGCTCTGCTCGAGGGGTTATATTGGTTGAGGTTTGAAACGTTGTGTGATATTAAAAAAAAGATCATAACACTTTTATATACTTAAATGTAAATGTAAAAGTAAATGTTTTTCTCATGACATGTCGACGTAATACAGATTAAGGGTTTGATAAAGCCTTTGCAAAGGTGACTGATATTGATGACGAGAAGTCATACAGATTACGGGGTTTTATACAGCCTTTGCAATCGTGACTGATATCGATATCATCACATATATATATAACAAATATATAATGAATAATATTTCTAACCTTTTATTTATATGTAGCAGCATTTCAATTGCTTCTTAAAATCCTTTTCATGAATTTGCCAGACAAAGTTATTAGAACTAATGACAACATCACATAAGAGCAATGTAAAGTCAACGACGACAATACCACCTTTTGAGCAGGAACTGCATACATTTTTTGGAGCACTAGAATTCAACGCGGATTTGAATGAGATTAAGTTTTCTTCAATCAAAAATATGTCCAAATTAAATGCCTATACTTGTCATTTCTCATACCTAGACTAAAACTATTGCATCCAATGTCTTTAATCAAACGACATGAGGTTGAGAAAATCCTGGACATTCATAGATCTGTCTATGTTTCTTTAAAATTTCAAAAATTAGAACCTTAGATCAAAACCTCCGGTATGCGCATGTTCATCACCAAAATACAAATAATGCCCTTCTTGACTTCTTGATCATAATTTATACAACCTTGATAATGGTATAAGTTATTGACAATGCACATCGAAACCATCGTTAATGACTGGGCTAAATCTTTCAATGCATGGAAGGAGAGAGACATTGGAGCTAACAGTGTTAAAAAAGAATAACTTTGAACAAACAGATATGTTACTTAATCATGAGCTGAGTCTTCCAAACTCAAAGGCGTAGACAGATTATGGCATTGATAGCTTGATGAACGTTATTGGTCATGCGTCTCCCAAAAATGATCTTGTCAACCTTCCTAGACTAACTAACAAAGAAAACAAACTCCTATACGAACTATCCGATTTAATGTCAAAGAAACTCTTAACTTAGATGTTTGCTGGGATACTTCGATTAATCAGGAATTAAAATGAAATGGGACACGGTAAAACGGACTATCTCGAGACTAAAGTATTAACCTCATTTAAAAGGACAAAGATGAAGCATTCCGGCGATCGAGGATTTTTCATTTCACTGGAGTAGACCTAATAGAGGCACGCTTGGTCAATGACCAAAGCCTGGAACCACCATGAACCGATATGTAAAACAATTGAAACAGGATTTGGTATACATTGAACACTAAAATGAATAAACATTTTGCCAATCAGACAACCATCAACGTTACGGAAAGTTTCACAGACCCTTTTAAAAAATGTTTTTACAAACGCCTCGAGCTCTCTTTGAGAAAAAAAAGGACGATGATAAAAATGTCTCTTGAGGATAAAATATTCATGAAATGAATGAACAAAGAATTAATAAGAGACTCTAAAGGGTAGCACCATTAACGTTCCGAGTGCCAAGATAGCCGTTTCCAATCAATAAACGACACGTTTTGATAGTACCAATCCACTTTCTTACCTTATGAGTAAGATTTTGCACAACAACCACGTAGAAGCTGTATTGTTTTTGTTTATATAAACGACCACGAAGAATGCTGGTATTTACTATGGTTTAGATTTTTCGATCTGAGAAACCTGAGCAGATCAGATATGTGTTCAATTCTTCCGTAAAATATAACAGAGTCTCCCTAAAATGTTTTAACAGGGCCAGTAAAATTGCCAAGGCATCATCAATCACATGTCACATTTTTTTTACATAGAAATTTGATGTCGACGACGGTTTTGCGTCATGTGCTACAACGGAAGAATCAGTTAAATTCATGAAAGACACCAAGCAAGCATTACCATCTCTAATTGTGGATTTAATGCCAGAGATTTGGCATCAAAATTTACTGACCGAGACTTAGAAGCAGACAATAACCCCCTGCAACATAGTTTTGGATTAGGGTAGGAAGTAAAGCCCGACACGTTCCTTTTTCAATTGTTGTCAGAAGATAAACCAATCACTCAGAGAGAAAGAAAATCAACGGGTAATAGTATCTACAATCCGTTTGGAGTTAAAGCTCGGGTGTTTATACAAGGAAAGGTCCACTCAGCAATTTAGGAAGTGTTAACATTGAGCTGAACTCGATGTTGTTGTCTTCAACACATTAACTGAACTCTACTACATTTCCATTGATAAAAATCAATGCTTGTAGTTTAAGTTAGATTTTGATTACATGCAGTCGGTAGTCAATGTAGACCTTGTGCAGATTAAGTGTACATAAACTGTGTCAACATTTTATTCGAACTTAAAAGAGAGGGGAACGATACCAAAGGGATATTCAAACTCACATTACTAACAATATACTTTTGAAAAGTGTAATAAATATGTCACCTATGCACCATCGTACTATTTAAGATATATCTATCAAGGCTATCAAATACTAAATTTGATATTACGTGGATTTAGATAAATGTAGAACATGAATGGTAAGTTGTAATGTTTCAACTTTACATTTAAACAAATTTTCACTTTGTAGTGTTCTATTTTAATGTTCAAATAATGTTAACTTTTGATGATACACATATTGTTTATGTGTCCCGTAAAGTATAATACTATTGTATTTTATCAGTATATTACAATATGTCAAATATTTGGGCGATATATTTATCTATTTGTACAGAAGATGACAACTTTTCACGTAGAGATATAACCTAAGAGAGTGTACAATTGGAAAAATAACCCAACAACACAAAGCTGACAGACATAAGAAATTCTAAAACTTCATAAAGCATAAAAAAATATAGCACAAACGACCCCAAAAAGGGTAAAGCTAAACAAACTTATTAACAAATACATTTACACATGTTAACAAACATGTCTGAGGTATTTATAACAATATTCATCAGCGTGTACATTTCAGTTTTGGACCGGAAGGAGAAAAATGTATTGTTACAAAATTCAAAAGAGAATTGTCTGTCCTTATGCGACAAAAATATCACTCTCCTAGATACAGACGTGTTAAAGTGAACGAAACTTTAAAAAATTAAGTAACATTTTTTAACCATTATTTTCTTAATGTCAAAAATATTGGTTTGTAAATTGAATTGAGCTCTTTAAACAGATGTATAGTCAAAGCTTAGAAACATCTTTAATTTGTACTCATAAGAAGCAGAATTCATACAGAACCTTCTGAAATACAAAAAAGAAAAAGCATCTTGTACATTTCCTTAATTTCATTTTCAGATATATTGACGATGTCCTTTCACTCAAAAACCTACATTCCAGTGAGTGCTTGCTTCTTTCATATCCCAGTGAACTTGAAATGTAGGATACCTAAAAAAACTAGAAGGTCTACCTCATATCACGACCTTTTTTCTCAATATTGACACATATAGACGACTTCAAACTAAAATCTATGAAAAAAACGCAATTCTTATGATTTCAACTTTCCAATAGTCAACTTCCCGTTTCTCGTCAGTAACATATCCTCTACTCCATCGTTTAATGGAAACATATCTCAATTTAAACGTAATCTTTTGGATGTTCATATTAAACGGACTTCATTAACTGGGATGCGTTCCTGTTGTGTATGTGTCTTTACTCACTAGCGACATGTTTTAGCGGTCTTACATCCTTAGATAAAAGAAATGTCACCTGATTTATAAATTTACCGATTGTGTCCTATTCCAGATTGTGACATTTTGACTGAGTGTTAATTCTCATGGCTGTCGACGAACCCTGTATCGCTGCTTCTGAAATTCATGCGATTTCCTCAGTTTTTTAATCTTTTTTGTTAATTTATGAGATTTTAACATCGGTTTACTGTCGTTTTCGCTAATTTACAAAAAATACAAAAAAAAAAAAACATCTGTTGTGTCTGCTGTATAGATATGCGCAAGCATTTTGAGTTTATTGTATACATACTTTTGTTACTTTTTTGCTTTTTATTGGTAGTGTTTTCTAATATAGTTCCATGTGTTTACCGATAATTTGGTTTTCCTTTTTTTGAATTCTTTTAATATCTAGTCAACATTTAGATGGCAGAGTTGTTCGCTGTTTATATGTTACCAAAACAGTATATACATAATTGGTATCTATGCCATATATAACACTTCTTTCAATTAACTTTTATTTAAGTTATGAATATTTTCCCGGAAAGTCGAAACGGGAAGTTTTACTGTTTTTCCGAATAGTGCTCTTAAATCTAACACAATCCGTTTAACAATTTCTTCTTATTACTTCAAAATATTTTTTTTAGTTTATTGTTTATATAATGTATTTGATTCCATTTCAGAATACGAATATAATGCATCGTTTGAGATCAATGATGAAATACAGCAGAAGTTTGATGAATATGGATATATATTAGTCAGGTATGTCATATATTTAGAACTAAACAAAATAAAATGTAAGATGATGTTGCGTGACATTTTGTTGATGTAAGTTTAACTACCGAATATTGAAAAAAAACATGGAAGCGTGAATTCATCAAGTCTTTTCTTCTTCGGTAAAGCTGTTGTCATTGAATACTTCCAGCATTATTTACATTTGATCAGGTACACTCGCAACAAAACGGAAGAGTTTGGTATTGGTGGTTAGAATGATCTTTTGTACCGTTCAAGTCTTTTTGTAATTCCCAGAATCTTTTTTTATGTATTATCTAAAAGACAAAAAAAAATAGTTAACATTATATAAATAACACATAGCTGAGATGGTGATAGAGCAGATTGTTACCCCGAGTAAACATTGTCAACTGAGGCGAAGCCAAGGTTGACAATGTCTTTTCGAGGGGTAACAATCTGCTCTATCACCCTCTCAGATATGTGTTATTTAATTTATTATACTGAATGTTCTGTTATTACTGTCTATTAAATTTCAAATTCAAAGTAATAAACTATGACGTCTTGTACATAACAACCATCCTTATTTAATAAAGCGCACACTTGATCAAGCGTCTCCGTGAAGGGTAATAGAGTATTTACCATAGAATAGAGTAAATTAACACCCTCGTATAAGCCAATAAAAATTTTGCATTTTTACGTGAAGTATAATAAAACATTATATCAAAGGAAGCTAAAGGGCCAAACAAATTATTCCAACTGGGTAAGATTATCTTTGCCTGGTAAGATAGTAAATCTTAAAAATCGTATACAAACAAGCTTTCTGGTCACGATAAAACAGTCGGAATCATTTTTTTCTTTACAAGATATAGCAGTCCAAAATTCAATATGTTTACCTTCTTAAAGCAGTGGATGGAATGACAGTATATTAAATAGCATAACTTTTCCTATAAAAGAGTGAATCTTCGAAGCCTCCACAGGTCTTGTATGTACATAACAAAGAAGTATTTTTTGATATGCAGTAGTAACCATTGCACAATTCTTTGGAAAATCAATGAATTGCACGAATAACCGATAAAAGTATTATATTGGCCGACAAGACAATATAATCCTAAAATCCTAAGCTAAATATTCACACGGAATCTTTTAAAATGTTGTGATGTTCAGTAGTTGTGTGGTTCATAAGTGTTTCTCGTTTCTCGTTTTTTATATAGATTAGACCGTTGGTTTTCCCGTTTGAATGGTTTTACACTAGTAATTTTTAAGGCCCTTTATAGCTTGCTGTTCGGTGTGAGCCAAGGTTCCGTGTTGAAGACCGTACTTTGACCTATAATGGTTTACTTTTATAAATTTTGACTTGGATGGAGAGTTGTCTCATTGGCACTCATACCACATCTTCTTATATCTATATGCATAGAATAAAATGTAGTACTTGGACAGTATTTATACATTCTTGGCTTTTAAAGTTTTGAGTATGAGCGTCCCTAGTAAAGTTAAATCCAGGATAGCGCTTCGGACGTACCAAATTTATATAGTGTTTTTCCCTTGCTAACAATGAGTCGTTACCGCTGCTGGTAGACTGCTAGTCACCGAGGGTATCAACAGTTCAGTATTCACTTTTCGGTACTGGCATAATTAATTACACACCACCCTTAAGTTTTATAACTGTGATGCAACAAACATATGATTAATCATTGCATTTTGCAGGAAACTATTTGAACCAGAAGTTATAAATAGAATAAAGGAAATGGTACAGAATAACGAGGAGATGTTAAAGTATAAGTGTGACGTAAGTAATCAGAAATTTGCTCAATTTGAAAAAAATTGCTTTGGTTTTAATTTTCAATACCCACTACCTGATTCAGTGTTGTACTTTGTGCTATTAATTTTTTAATGTCTGCGTTGTTTCTGCAGTTTTGTCTTTCCTTTGTTCTAAAAAATGTTGTTCAACTCAAACTTTCTCATTCGGTCAAGTTTCAGCGTCAGTTAATGTGGTGATGTGTAATAGTTAGATAAAAGTCAATCACCAATCCGATATTGCGTGATTCTTGATAACTTGATACGACATAACAACATATTGTATAGGAGTAACACGACAGGTTTCACATGTGGAGAGGATCTTCTATCATTTCCGGAGCAACTGAGATTATCCCCAGTTTTCTTGGGGTGTCATTCGTGATGTTCAGTCTTAGTTTTCTATGCAGTATTTTGTAGACTTAATTGTCTTTTCGTCGTTTACATTCCATGTCATGGTTGTCATTTTTTTTCGATTGATCAGTTTGAAAGTCCATTGGCTCCTGGTTCTTTTAAATAGTTTTGGGATTTACACGGACTTACACCTTTCTGCTTGTAACTCTTTTTTTAATCCACACTTAACCAAAACGAATTAGCAGAACTTAACAAACATTGCGCAGATCCCCTAGGAGCAGAAACTTGTGCACTTGCTATTTTATTTCTGATCTTAGTTATTTAGGGTTTTCTCATACCAAAATATTGGCTTACCTATTTCTGCTTCCGTTAATCAACACCTCATTGAACATGGATTTACAGTATTCCAACCAACTTATCTTTACACTATTTGAATAAATTTCCCAGTTAAACCAATAACGAAGGTAGAACATATCAGAATAGTGACTATTTTAGCATCAAAAAGCAAAGACAGAGATCATAAAATATTTTTTTAAAACTTCGCATTTAAATTGATCTAATATAATGTATAAAAATCCATTTGTTTGGAAATTTGGGATAAAATTCTTATTTCAAATAAGCTCATCATAGATACAAAATTATATAAGATATGGCATTTTTTTATGTTATCAGATTCCCGACAAAGAAGGTCAAATGTCTTCTATGATAGCTTGGAACCAAGCTGGAAGTGACGTGAGTGGCATGATGGCAAGATGTGAAAGAGTGGTTAATCTGGTTGAAAAGGTAGGTTATTTTGTCTGTTAAAATGGTATATGCTGAAAAATAGTATGATACAAATTTATCAAATAATCCGATATATCTTAATCTAATGATAATATTATTTCAAAGATAACATTGAAGCGAATACTATTTGGAGACAAATTTGACCACTTTTGTATTATAGAGGTACTCTACAGTTAGAGAACTGTACCTTTAGAAATTTCATCAAAGTAGACATCCAGAGGATATAACAAAGTATGAACTACCGCGTACGGCAATATCTAAATATCTTCCAAACTCCTTAATAGGAGTTTTGTCAACGCCTTACTTAGTACAACGGAAGTTAAGTGTAGCGATATCACCATTGTTCCGGAATTTCAGTATCACCATATGGGGACAAGTTGTGAATGAATTTAGCAGAGACGATTGACAATCTGTCATATATTTGTAGATCGACACCATTTATACAAACTAAATGACAATTGTGTTGCAAATTCTAAATGAACAAAATATACCTGCCACAAAGGAAATCATTCCTACAAATTCTGGACTAACAAAAAGTACCTGCTTTACATTCTTCTGCAAATTGTTGACTGCCAATGTGCTTTATCCATACTTGAATATATGTAACGTGAGGGTACTCAAATTGCACCTATTTTTACAGTTTTTTTCACCTACATTTATTTATGATCCAGACAAAAGTTTCCAATCTGTGTTTATTTTGTAGATGTATCCTTATTTACAATACAGTTCCACCAATTTAATGTTGAATCCACATTGAATCATAGAAAAATGGGTTAAAACCGACCTCCAAACGATTCATGATTCTGTAATGAGGAGTACCCAAATTGCATTTATGCTTTAGTTCACATCCGTAAAAATAAAATAACTGATGTATATGCCTGTGTTATTGAACAAAACAACATATTATCAACATAGTCTGTTTTAAAAATGTTACAAAAACAAATTTAAATAATTATTTCAACCGGTCTGCTTCTCTGTTATTGAATACCATATATTTGATTAAAATAATTATATCAGACTCATTCTTCAGTCTGAAAACATTTTAAAAAAGATACCTTGAATTTTAATAAAATAGTCGTCGGTGATAGCACAATGAAATTTCTTTTCAATAAGTGTCTAGGTGGAGAAGTGTACTTATATCACTCGAAGTTTACCATGAAGTGGCCTAAGAATGGAGCAGGTTTCCACTGGCATCAAGATTATGGGTAAGTAAGATTAACAGAAGTTGTTTGTGAAATAGAATTCATTATGATTGCCTCATGGTAAGTGGAGGATTTTGAACGAAAGCGTTTACAATAAAAGTTGTTGAATGATGATAATAGTAAACACATTTGTTAATAATAAACTTGTCGGGGAATACGTTACACATTTGGGAATGGTAAGAACTGAAAAAATAGCATTGCCCAATACTGTTTGCTTAAATTTTGCTTAACGAAATACAGGAAATAAATGTGTACAATAAAATAAGAATATTGCAAAAGGTAAAAATGAATATTCCCTTTGAAAAAAAAGTCCTCCTGGCCCTCCTTCCGATTATCAAATAGTCATCCCCTAAAACAAAAACCGATTATTTCACGTGAAAAATAAATCCGATAGTTAAACTCCTTTGACGTCATATACCAATGGGAGTTGCATCAAAACGAATAAGGAATACTTAGAAAAAGATATATTTCCTTGCATTTTCTACTTATAATACCATTAAAAGTCCATAGTTAATTTATTAAAAAGAAGCATTAACCCAAGTTTTCAAATATCGAAAAAATATTCAAGTCGTGACCGAACAACAGCCGAGAATTCATGTGTTATTTTATTCCGCTACTCGAATGTTTTTCTATATCTGAATTCTTGAATTATAATTATATTATAACTATTGTTTGGATGCACAACTTGATTCTAGTTTTATAAGTTAGTTTCCTCACAGTGAATACCACCTTTTAACATTCGATGTAGAGAATACGCAATGATGAAGTTACAGCATTAATGTAAAAAGCTTGCCTATCTTTTTTTCTGATGTGTCCTACAGTTTTCTCTGCATGTAGAATCTGGCAGAAGCGGTCAAGGATTAGGGTTGGGCTATAGTTCTAAGATAAACATTAAGTAAAAAGAAAAAATCAAAAGAGAGATAGATGCCTGTTTTACCGTTCTAAATATTTAGAGTTGTATAAAGGTCATCGACGATGTGCACAAACAAAGAAGAAAACGCAATTGTTCTGGACATTATTAAGCTAACAAGAGAATATGCAGAATTTACGACTTGTTTTTATCTTCAGACTTTTCTTTAAAGATATTGGTATGATTATGGAAATCTTTATCCTGACATGGGTACATTATTCGTGGCAATTGATGAGTGTACTGTGGAAAATGGATGTTTACAGGTAATATTCTATTTTTCTATTTTGTACTTCTAGAGAGGTTTGTTTACTATGATTGTCGTATACCGAAGTCATGCACTTTAAATTTACGAGGACGTTAGGTAGTCATCAATCAATTTCCGAAATCCCGATGAAACAATTATTTACTGGGTATTTTCTTAAATTCTTTCATGCGCAGTTAAATTATAATAAACTTGGGCGTCTTGTTGCTATGCAGGGTGTATTAATACGTCGTCAAAATTACATTCGATGCCTTGTTTATGTGCGTTAAAGAACATTCGTAACAACTAGTTGAAATGTCCGTAGATAACCTGTTACAATCCAAAATATCTGTCCCTTTCCTTCTTGCTATGTTTTTACCAATTGTAGACTTCATTTTACACACTATTGATCCCGGCTGGTTCACTCTGCAGAGCCATCTTATTGGTTTTATTATTAATGCGTTATCTTCTACAAAGACTCATCAGTTACGCTCGAATCAAAAATGTTAAATGACCAAATAAAATACGATAATGCAGAGTATTGAGAACCTAAAATCCGAAAAAGTTTGCCAAATACAGATGAGGTAATCTATTCCTTTGGAAGAAAATCCTTAGTATTTCGAACAATTTAAAGTTTTGTAAACAGCTAGTTTATTAATATTTCCATATCAATGATCATTCATGGCAACACAGAAGTACTAACTACTGCGCTTGTGATACCCAGATAGTCGACCTAAGACGATTTTACCTGATCCGTTTTGGTTCTCTTGATCTTTTAATGCATCTGGATTTTCCAAAACTATACTGTTTTTTAACGTTATTGGTGAAATGCAACTAAAAGCTGTTCCGTGCTCACTAAAATCGATAAACCTAAATAAGAAGCTGTAAAATAAATTTAACATGAGTTATCTTTCGTTTTCCATGAACACAATACATATTCTTCATATCTTTGATTGAACCTCCAAGGGTGACTGAGGAATAGAAATATGGTCACTCTTGGTGTTCTTCCGACCGGCAGAAAAACCCTTGCTAAAGTGGGGCGTCCGTTTGGCTGTGAGGGATGTACAAGTACCCAGCCACGTTTGGTGAGAATGGGGACGTTAAATCAGATGCCGCATGTAAAGAGAGTGCCACACCCTTTGCACGTTAAGAACCATTGCAACAACTCTTTGAGGTGGCCTGTTGCAAAGCAAAATTTCTGCCCTTATCCAATATACCCTCACCTAACATCCTCTGACAAATGCTTTATACATGATCATCACGAAAAACAATTTTATAATTAAATTCAATTGAAAGGTTCTGCAAAGTTGATCGACCGAGAAATTTGGACGATACTGGAAAAAGAAAAAGTGCTGAAATTTTGTCCGCCAATAGGCTACCTACGAACCCCCCAAATAGTTGTTACATGAGTTCCGTAAACATGCAGAAAAATTGGTACTCTTGATTTTGGGATATCGGATGTAACGTCCCCATTATGACCAGACGTGGCTGTGTATTTATACATTATCCACAATCAAACAGAAGCCCCCCATCTATATAACTTATAGGCGGATGTAGTCAAATTGACTATATTTCTACACCCTATGCAACCCTTTGGGTGTTTTTTTAAAATTTGAAATACATATTATGATAGACATTTTAAAGAACATTTCTAATACATTGGTTGCTGCAACAAATCTTACTAAATAAATAGCAATATTATCTCCAATTTAGTATATTGTAGTATTGATAGAAATGATCAAAGTTCCATTTCAGAGTAACATAATTATTCAACGCATGTTATCGTTTTCTCAACAGCGTGGTTGCTTCAGTTCACGAAAGAGCACACAAGGAGAAAAACAATTTTAAGTATAAAATTACGATACTATATATTTACAGCTTCTCCGTGGATCGAACAAATGTGGAAGACTGGATCACACTAAAGATGACGGACAATTCTCTCCCTCGAATGAAAGATTGGAATTTTTAAAAAAGATACTCCCTCTGGAGATTGTAGAAATGAAGCCGGGTAAATTATCATGTGATTATAGGAATTTGTACAAGTACCGGAATAAAAACAAACTATTTATTTCTTATAAACACCTTTGATGGCTATATTGCTGCTACTTTATTACAATCTGTAGTAGTTCGATGTAGGTGTTTCAATTATCAAACAGAGGAAAATCACAGATCACAGAGCAGCGTCTTGAATATCGAGGGGATTGATAATTGGAAGATTCTTTACAAATAATGTATCAAACATTATGGCACTGAAGATGAAGATACCACAGGGACATTCAAATGTTTTGGTTTAAGTGTTCCTGATGAAGACAAATTCAGAAAAGCGCTTCCGAAGCACAAAATTTTATCAAGTGTTATTTTCATTTACTAGCACTTTGCCGATACTACTGCTGGTGGACTGTTAGTTCCCAGGGGGATCAACAGCTCGGAATAAAGTAAAATAACAAAAATACCGAACTCCAAGGAAAATTTCAAACGGAAGGTATCAAATGGCAAAATCAAAAGCTCAAACACTTCGAACGAATAGAAAACAACTGTCATATTCCTGACTTGGTATAGGCATTTCCTTATGTAGAAAATTGTGGATTAAACCTGGTTTTATTGATCTCTAAACCTCTCAATTGTATGACAGTCGCATATAACAATCCCATTATATTGAAAACAATGTGTGAGCAAAACAAATAGACAACATGGGTAAAAATGTAAACAATAGGGTACAGCAGTCAACATTGTGTTATAATCTTAATCACTATAAAAACAAACAAATATGTCCAACAAAGAAAAACAAAATTGCATATAGACACTCTATAAACAAAGCACATAAGCAAAAATGAAAGACAAGAAAACAAAAAATGACCATAGCACAATAACACAATTGCGGAATGTATAAATGCCGAGCAACGTCAAAAGGATATTACCAAAAATGGACTAAATAGTAAAGGTTAAGGATATACAAAGACAAATGAAAAGAACACTATAACACGTAATTATACTCAGAAGAGAGTTCTGCGGTACTGACACGATTTATATTTATAAAATCCACGTTGATAAATAATGAAATTACTAAGGAACTAAGGTTCCAACTTCCTTAGGAAAAGTTGACCTTAGATGAATTTGACTATTCCTGTTAGATTCCCTTATGTCATAAAGCTCCTATCGTTTCAACTGTTTGGGTTTGAGCGTTTCTGATAAATATTTATCGAGAACCCACTTCCGACTTACGAAATTTATAGCGTGTTATTTTAATGTATGAATAAATCCCAAAGAAAAGTGGAGCTGAAAAAACAACTAGGCAAACTAGAAATTGAATATATACCCAACAACAGATTACCGTATCACATTCAAAACAAATTTAACAGGAATATACACACACTTACTGTAATATAATAGTTTGGGACATGCGTATGGAGTATTCGGCCCAGTTGAGCCTTTTTTTTCTGCTCAAATCCGTCTCTTGTCTCGGTGGTGTTATAGCAGCTAACGAAACAAAATAGATATCAATTGAAATCCGATTAACATTTAAAGAAGAAAAAAAGAGACAAGAAAGGTGTGACCTAATATAATAAGCATTTATAGCACTGCTAGATATATTATGCTTATATACGATGATATCAGCCAATTCAATTCATAGTGATTAAGTGTAACACGCATAATTTTATAACTCACATTTGTAAAGCACCACTTTATTTATTACCGCGAATAATAGTTTATATTCCTCTTTTGAATAGTAACGATTTGTTACACCATCACTTGATAGAATTATTGACATATGTTTTAAGTTTCTAGTCATTTAGAATTGTCGAAGCTATCTATTTCAGATATTTTTTTCTCTGTCTCTAGGTGATGCTGTTTTCTTCCATTGCAATGTCTTACATATGAGTGAAATTAACACAAGTGACAAACGCCGAATTGGGTTTCCAATATGTTACAACAGGGCAAGTAACAGTCCAACGAAGGAACATCATCACCCGCCTTACTCTCCGATAAGCAAGGTATTATTGCAATATCATTAATGGTACCAATTTTCCTGCACCAGATGCGCATTTCGATAACAAATGTCTTTTCAGTAATGCTCCAGGCAAGATATTTGAAATCCAAAGCTTATTAAAAACACGAAGAGCTTATAAATCTAAATGACACAAAAGTGTAGCCAAAGCAGGGCAAGGAAAAAGAGCTTTGCATGAGGGAGATATATTCCTGAATTTAAAATAATTTCCAAAATTTTGTAATAACGAATTTTAATAACCCAAAATCCGTATTTTCATGCTAGGACCTATAACAAAAGAAGAAAAAAAAACGATATCGCTTGTCTTGCACAAGTGCTGTATTAAATACCATAAAGCATGCTTTCTTTACATTAGTAATGATCTATCAATTGTAGTTTGTTTTTTTAATGTGGTCAATACTGGAGTAGAATGACCCACATAATGCGTCTGAGCAATGAATTGTAGTATAACGTCTGGCTAAGATGTCTTGTTCTTGTATTTGGTTGTTCTTTCTGTCAAACTATGCTAAATGTAAAAGATAAACTGATCCTGTTTAAGAATTTGTCATTTCCATGTCCATAAACTTATTATATAACAGCTATCAATTTCAGTGACTCTCATGACTGTCACAAAATTTTCCTAGTCATGGTTATATTCAGTCACGACTGGTTTCATCACTACGAGTATGTTAAAGTCATAATCACGAAATGTTCAGTCGTTTTAAATTTAGTGTGTCACAAACAACCAACGATATATTTACTTTACGTCCTTTTGACCATAACCACTTGATAAACAGTAATCAATTTTCAAAACAACGGGAGTGGTATGCTAGCAGAATCGATGAGAGTTCATTTTTTCTTAGAATTATTATTATTTTATTATCGTATTCGCCATTTATTTATTCAGGCACCTATCTTATGTATTGTTTCGTCTCGTCCGCTATGGATAATACATTGATTCAAACATTGTTTCCAGTATAAACACAATTGGTCAGTAGTTTTATTACCTGTAATTGATTGTACAATGGTTTTGTATATTAACAGGTATCAAATAAAGATTTATTTAACTGTACAAACATAACAGATATGACAGGCAAGGAGTTTATAGACCTCGCTAATGCAGCAACAGTTAAGAGTCAGTTAACATCGTTTGGAAAAAATGGTACAAATTAATCGGGAAAATATACAACTGGATATAGATATTTCAGTAATAAAAATAAATAGAGATGGTCTGTGATTTTAACTTTGAGTAAACGTGCCGATGGTTAGCAAGAGTTATTCCCCGTTGAACATTATTTATAATCTAACATGTGTTGAATAAAATTCCTGGTTACATTAACTTATTCTGAGAAACCAAGATTTTTTAATCTCTAAACGAGGTAGAAATATGTTTAGCACTATCGTAAAAAAGATTAACTGTAAAACAATAATTGTCCTTACCATAATCACATTACGGATATTTTGATAACACTACAGTAACCTACAAAGGTAAACGAATCTGACCTTATATTCACGGTTCATTAATCATTGGTAAAACAATAAATATATTATTTGAATGTTTTGGGAATTGTTAAAGTTCACAGTTATATATAAAACAGTCTTTAAGAGAAGAACTTTGAAATTTGAGGATCTGTATATAAGACTATTTTTTAGAGAAAAACGGGGAAATTTGAGGATCAGTATCTAAAACAGTGTTGAGGAGAAACACAGCGAAATTTTATATCAGCATGTAAGACAGTTATGTTTAGAGAAACACGAGGACATGTGAGGATCAACCTTTAAGATTGTTTAAGAGAAACACGGGGAAATTTGAGACTTTTTGTGGAGAAACAGGGAAAAATTTGACTATCAGTATATACGACAGTGTTTTAGAGAAGCACGGGCAAAATAAGTTTCAGTATATAAGACAGTGATCTATAGAAGGACAGGGAAATTTGGGGATCAGTATAATAAGACAGTAATTCAGATAACTTATGCCTAAAACAATATCCTAACTTTATTCAGTATGAATAAAATAATAATATCATAGCTTATCCCACACATTGAAAGGGTCATCTTTGGGGTATATTTCAGGGCAAAAGGCTTATTAGTATTTAAAAGGGATAGAAAGAAAGAAAATATTTTCTAAAAAATCCATTTTTAATTAAAATTAATGAGATTTTTATACATCCCCGTTTCAAGTTCGGACGGAGAAATTTGGCAATAAAGCAAAGCTGTTTACAGTAGATGTAGAAATGATATCAACTTAATATTAAAAAAAACAACGAACGACATGAAAAGTATTTGAAAGTTAACGGATATTTTTAATTCCTGTTCGATTTAGGGTTGAATATCACTATCAACGTGCTTGTAAAAATTTTTGTTGTTGTTTAAACAAGTTTCGAGAGATTGATTGCTTTTTGCGAACTTTGATTGCCAACTCTTTTCGTGTATATTCATCAGAGGGCAAATCTAACAATGAATTAAGGCGACAGTAGTTTACCGATGTTCAAATCTCGTAAATCGATTAGGAAGAGACAAGGTTACAAGCAATAATTAAGGGAAACGCATGAACTCCAAAATCAGCGAGACCGGGTGCTTAGACAGAGTCTTGCTATTCACACTCAGTCAAAATGTCACAATTAGGAATATGAAAAAACGTCTCATGCTGTTATTGGGATCACGGGATGAAAACCGGGCTGATATGGAAAAGGTCATGTATTCAATCTGTATTCAATATATGATATATAAAACCTATTATTAACCAATGACTTAAAATACATTAAAAATTATCCATGGGTCTGAGAACTGGTCATTAATACAGGTCTATTAAGAAAACAAATCCGAATTTGGTTCAAAAAGGTGTCAGAAAATGGAAGTGCATTTAACGCAAAATAATAGATTTCAACAAGTTTGATGATTTATTGTTGAATTTTTCCAGAAAAGCGCTTCGGATTTATAAATTTATAAAGTGTTGTTTTCATTTTTTACAGCACTGGTCGATACCGTTAATGGTGGACTATCAGTCTTCTAGGGTATCATCAGCTCAGTAGTCAGTACTTAGGTACTGACATGATTTATAACAAACTTTTTTTTTAAATTGTCCGTTTATAGATATAAAAAATATTAAGAAACTAAGGTTTCAAATCTCTCAGGCAAAGTTGATCTTAGATGAATTTGGCTATTATTTTTGGATCTTTTTTGGTCATATAGCTCTTCAACTGTGCCGGTTCTGATACATCATTAGATTTCCAATATTCGACTTTGAGCGTTCCTGATGAAGGCAAATCCAGAAAAGCGCTTCGGACGCATGAAATTTATAAAGTGTTGTTTTCATTTTTTCTACATATGTTATAATATTTGTTTCTATGAGTATATACATTTATGGACCTAGAAAGGGTGAATATTCAGAACTGTCGCCCTCAAAAGATTATTTCTCTGAGGGCGCAGTCCGAAGTGAAAGACAATTGTAGAGTTTACAATCTTGTATATGCATCGCTTCAAATGGGCCACATTTGTTTAATTATACCGAACTATCAGAAGAAGCGGCTACCGCGAAACATTGAAAATACATGTTAAAGATCATACTGCGCATGTCTTACTGTAGTAACAAATTGTAAAAACACTAACGTCAGAGAAGTATTTTGTGTTTAAAAATGACTCACATTTACAACAAAGGAAGACTCTTTCTGTAAAAAGTAAAATAACAAAAATACCAAACTCCAAGGAAAATTCAAAACGGATATTAATGGCCCTAAAAAGGGCCGTTTGTGAAAGCTATCTTCGGCAACAGATGGATATCTTATACGTCTGGCTTCACCCCAAGCACTCCTATGTCATAATGTTTGTGCTATTACGTCGCAGTAATAGCCGATTGTTCGAGGACTACGTTTACGCCGATTGACATTGGGTCAATCGGTGTAACTCGTTCATTAGAAAACAACTCGAGATTTGTGCATTTGTCCTCGATCAGCTTTTGGAAGTTATTTGAAGTCATTGATTAAAAAAGGTGTCATGAAATGGGTGTTTTTTATATTAATCATGTATTATGTCCTTGTATAGTCGTCTTGTAATGTCACAGTGGAGACAATATGTAATTATTTTAAATTCACTATTTTTTACAGTCTTATTTGCCAGAACTGTCGCTCTTTGTTCGACTATACTAATGTACCGTATTTATTCTTACTTTTATGTTTTAGTGATTATTGCTAAGATCTTGTCTTTTTTTGTTTACAAAAGTCCAAAAGGATCATTCTTAAGTCAAATCGGAAATACGAGATTTTAAAATACGAAGTTTGAAATGTGGATTTGAAATTCATTATCTCTATCTTTAAATTTGGAATTGTCATTCAAATTCATTGAATTTGAAATTCAGTATCCAATGAAACCAATAATAAAAACTTCCGGGTTGAGAAGCTATCAACGCTAGTAATATGTGTTTATTTAAAACGTTTCGAATTGATTTTTATAATTATCTGTAACTTAAAACGGAGACCAAAAACCGCACCGTGCACCTCCAACTGGATGTATTCATTCAAGTGAAAAGAAGTTGGTATAACGAAATAACGAACTTCCACGAAACAAAGAGTTACTGGCATCAATAAACATGATCAATGTACAAAACAATAATAAGAATACAGATAAACAAAGTAATATATATATATATATATATAAGTGAACTGTCATTATAATAACACTGATCAAGGAGGACAAACTGTAACAGCCATCAAAACAAACAAAAAACCTTTATGTGTTTATGAGGCGCTTGTCTGTACTTACCGTCGTCAGGAACCTTTGAGCCATACAATTTGAAATCCAATGACACGTTAGGACCTATATGACTTGAATGAATCGAAATGAAAGTCAAAAGTGTCCGCGGGAATTAGAACCTTGGTTTCTGAATATTTCAACATATAATTCGTTTCCTTTTTTGTTTTTTCTTACATAAGTCTTAATGAACCTGCAGATTTTTTTTTATCGAACGCAGAAAATATAAAGTTAGTATTTCATAATGATTTGTAACCAATTATTTGGTTGAGACATTTCTTAATTGTAAAAAAACATATATCGATGATTGTAATAGTTTTGTAACTTATTAGATAATATTAAAACAATTCGATTCTTTTGATCCTGAAAATGTTGAAGTTCGAATTTCAAATTAAAACAAAAAGATACTAATTGTCGAATAACCCATTTGAGATTTTGTAGTTTTTGCGAATTATTGTTAGGAATAAATGAGCACTCGGGTAAACCCACGTACAAAAACATACGAGGGTTGTCCGTAAAGTTCGTGGACAAGCTGAAGTCTGCGTAAAAATAGCATTTCAGGTAAATTCTTTTTGCATATTTGTAATCCTGAACTATATCCTAGTTCGGTTATATCAATATTTGTCCAATTTTCAATGCGAAATAATAACACTTACTTCATATAAATATAAGCAATAGGGACCCGGAGCACCGCGAAAATATCACATAACATGCAGGCTGGTGTTTTCATATTTTTGTTATTTTAAGTTTCAAAATCCGCCAAAATATACATGAAACTTACATTGTGACGTCGACAATAGTCTTGACGTTACACCTGCTAAATTTGAATGGTCAAAATTTCGAAATGGCGGATAATCTCGATTTGAAGCATTGAATCCAGAATCGGCATCACTGAAAAAAAGGAAATTTACGGAAAAGGTGGAGCAGCGGGCGGTTATAAAGTTTTGTGTAGACATCGGAAAAACGCCAACAGAAACACAAATTCTTAAAACAGTCTGAGAAACATAGCAAAGTTAGTCGTTCATTGGTATTCAAGTGGCACAAAAGGTTTGGGGACGGAAGAGACAATTTGGAAGACGATGAGCGGGAAGGTAGGCCATCTTTCAGGAAATCAGATGCGATAAAAAATGAAGTTCTGAACGTTATCAACAGTGACCGGCGACTAACAGTTCGCGAAGTTGCAGACAAATGTGACATTTCTAAGACTACAGCGCACCACATTTTAGCAAATGATTTAAATATGAATCGAGTATGTGCTAGATGGGTACCGCGACTTCTTACAGCAGAACATTTAACAAAAAGAATGGAATTGTCAAATCAATTTATTAAAAAAGTTTCTCGTGGTGGCATACGATTTCTAGACAGAATAATTACAACCGACGAAAGCTGGTTTCATTACTACGATCCTGAAACTAAACAACAGTCAAGTCAGTGGAAAAACTGTAACTCACCGCCACCAAAGAAGGCAAAGGTAACCAAATCAATGGGAAAGAATATTTTCATTCTCTTCATGGACCGAAAAGGAATGTTACTGACACATGCTGTACCCCGTGGCCAGACTGTTAATTCTGAATACTACTCCAAGGTATTTAACATAATATTTGCTTTTAAAAATAATGAACGATCTTAAATTAATAATTAAAACCTAAATAAAATGAAATAAACAGTTTAAGAAGGTGTTTATCAAAGAATAAAAAATAAATTATCAATCTTATTTTTAATTTAGATGCAATACGATTAAAAGTCCGTTTATTTTGTACTTTCAGGTACTGAGGCGAGATTTGGTTCAAGCTTTGAGAAAGAAACGCCC